CTCCCCCTCTGGGGCATGGGCGATAGCCCTGGCGCCGGCTGCCTTTGTCGCCGCCCTCCTGTCTTCCGGTCCTTCTCTTTCGCCATCCACTGGCCGGCCGAGCATGGCCCCTGTCCCCGTCCCCCCCCGCTCCGCTCCCCCCCTCCCCTCCCCTCCCCTCCCCCCCTACTTTCCCCTCATGTGCCTGGGCAAGCAGACGACTTTGTCAGCCATCGGGATAGTCTCTTTGGCTTTGCTCGCGCGGCGGCCCTGTGTGCTGACTGTCGATCCAGCGCCATGCTGGACCCCCGCTCGCGGTGCCTTGTCTTCACGGACGAGGCGTACCCCGTGTCCCAGGTCCATGCGGACTGGCAGGCTGAGATGGTTCGGGCATCGTGTGGCCGGGCTGGTGGCTGCTCCCAAGCTCCGGCGGCGGCCTCCCCGACCATGGCCATGGCGAGTGCCTCGGACGGGATGGCCGCGGCCCCGGGTGGCGGCGGTGGCGGCGCCAGCGCCGACGTCCCGAGCGCACCGCTCATCGTGCACTCCATGCCGGGCAATGCCCCCGGGCACTGTGACATCATCAGCAGCGCTCGGTCGGTGGACATGGTGTGGCGGCATTTGCTTGCGTGGCAGGATGGCCTTTCCTGCAGTGGCGGCATCGCCGAGGGCGAGCTCGTGTAAGGGGAAAAAAGAATAATAGAACCAGCATCCCCCCTGGCACGAGTCGCCATCGCGGTCATCGCATCCTCCCCGGGAGGACACGGGCTCATTTGGAGGCGACACAATGGCCAAGGGGACCAGGGGGGAGATCATGCAAATGGCAAGAGGGCGATGGCCAGGGCGCAGGAGGGAGGGAGAGGAAGCAAAGGGCAGCTCGGTCTATTCGGGGGTGAGAGGAAGGCAGAATACGGGCGGAGCAGCGACGTCCATGTGATTGAGAGAAGCCGGGGAGCCGGGGGAGGGGGGGGGGGGGGTGAAGAAAGGCAACAGCCCAAAGAGCCGCATGTGCACAGCAGAGAGTTCACTCGCTCTCCTGCTCGTCGGCATTCAGGTTCCGAATGTACTGGGTAAAGGCCGCGGCGGTGGACGTGCGCTGGACCGGCTCCAGCGGGGCCGGGGACATGATCTCCCGGACCTCGGGCGGCACGCGCAGCATCATCAACTGCAGGGTGGTGTAGTTGGGATACTGGTCCAGCATCCCAGCCTGGGTGAAGGCATCGACGGCCTGCTCGCGGATCATGCGCTCCTGGAACCCATACATGCGGTAGCTGATGTAGGACACGGTGAGGATGTGGACACCCATGCGGGCGCGCATCAGCAAGTTCGAGCGGAAGACATTGCCATTGGCACTGGAAATGAGCCCGGCGAAGACAATCCCCAGGGAAACACTGTACACGGGGGGGGGGGGGGGGGGGGGGGGGGCGGGGGAGGAAGAGCGAGAGTCAGCAGGGAGGCAGCGGTGGTGGGAGGGAAAGAAAAAAAAAAGAAACCAGACGCAGGTCGTGCGGAGGAGGGGAGGAGAAAGGCAGACGCACATGACGCCGGTCGGAGGAAGCGGGTCAGCCTTGAAGCCGTTCCACAGCCGGCGGAAGGTGCCGATCTGCTCCGGGGCCGAGTGCGTGGCACGCTCGAAGCCGAGCTCCTCATTGCTCATGCGGTTGATCTCGTCCATGGAGACGGCATTCCCGTCGGCGCCGTCCATGCGATCGCTCTTGCGGCGCAGGTGGCTGAGGCGCTCGCGCAGGATCCGGGCATTCTGCTCGGCGATGGTCGGCTCAGTGTCCGGAGAGGTGTCGGCGCCGCTCGGGTGAGTCATGGCAACAAAGGGGCGGCAATTGGAGGAGGGAGAGGGGAGAGGGGAGAGGGGAGAGGGGAGAGAGGGGGAGAGGAAAGGTTCAAGAGGGGGGGGGACCAGAACCAAGGAGGCGGGGGATGGGGGGATCCCGCCCGGCGGATCCCCGCTGCGGCGCCGCCCGAAGATTGCCCCTCGCACCCCCCGGCCGCTGTCTGCCACCCTTCGGCCGGAGGGGTGTCCGGGCTCAGGACCCCCCCCCCCAGTCCCTCCAACACCCCTGGCCGGCGAGACACGTTCCCAGGAGCTCCATTGGCAGTCCCGCATGTCCACATGCCGGGTCCCTTCCAGAAGCATTGAAGACCACCGAGTGACCTGCGCCGGGCCCGCGCCGACGGAGAAAACCACACCCGCAGCCGGGAGAGGGGGAACGCGGAAGGAGGCGAAGGCAACGTGTGTGCTGTGTATATTTTCTGTTTCGGGCATGGACGCGCCCCGGCCAGGGAGGCCTTGGTGGCGCGTAAACAACCGGCCCGGCATGTGGCGCGCGCGAGGTGATCTCCGTCGCACGTGATCCACTCAGAAGTCCACGGCACGGCCGCCGCGCTCCCAATCTCCGAACCGGGTGGGCTCGGCGCCCTTCGGGCCGCCGACCTCCCCGGTGATGGGGTTCTGCCCGCCCGGGTAGGATGGCAGGTTCTGGGTCGGGGTGGGGGAGGACTTGGCCAGCTGCTCGACGGTCATGGTCGGGGGCTCGTCCTCCGTGTCGGGGGTCTCCTTGGGCTCGGTGGGGGTGGTGGAGTACTGTGGGCAGGAGGCGGGAGGGGTGTCGAGCGGAATGCCGCGGTCAGTTGGGGGGGGGGGGGGGGGAGAGAAGTTCCGGCCGAAGCCCGCGAGAGCGGCATCCAAAAGAGGCCCCCCCCTGAGAGGAGACACGTACACTGTGGCCATCATTTGGGCGATGGACGCGACCAAAGCAGAGGGGAGGAGGGGGAAAGCGGGGTCAGTGGCCATGCTTGCCGGGACACCACTGCACCGGGTGGAGCACGCACAAGGCGAGGGGGCGAGCCCCGCGGACCGGGGAGGAAGCGGCGGCAGCGCGAGACAACAGTCGGAGGGAAAGCATGATGGGTGTGTGGGCGTGCACAGGAGGCGTCTGTGGGAGGTGGCCGGGGAGCAAGTGTGTGTGTGTGTGTGTGTGCGGGGAGGAGGATGGCGAGGATGGTGGGGGTGATGACGGGTGGGGGGCAGGCCAGCATTGGGGCTGCCCGGAGTCTCACAAAACCCTGCACGGTCGACCTTCCGCCGGGGACGGGGGAGCAGCGGGACGCCAGGAACATGTGTTGTGGGCATCAAGGGAAAAATGCGGACGATCGCCCACGGCTCCCTGGGCAGAGGCCCGCCCGCGGCATGACAAACGCCCCGGCAGCGCACACACACACATACACCCCCCCCCCCCCTGGGGCGGAGCAATCAACCCCGGTCAAAGGACCAGCCCCCGGCCATCGAGAAGTGCCAACTGAACCGGGACAAGGACAAGGTGTATTGAAGTTCTTGCTTGTGGGGTCATTTGTGGGGGTTTGCCTGGGGCTGTGGTCGGCGTGGCCGGCGTGGGCGATTGCACTGTCACGCACGCACAAGGGCACATTTGGCGGAAGGGGGCAGGGGAGGAGAGGCAGGCAACAAGCACATGCACCTGGAGGAGGGGCCAGTCACCATGGGCCGGATGCGCCCATGGAGGCCGAGAAGGAGAGACGCAGGAAGGGCGACAAGTCGCGGGGAGACATCTTGGCGGGGGAGGGACACGGACACAAGAAAAGGCCGAGGGCAGAGGCGGAGCACGCGCATGGAGGAAGGGCAACCATTCCCGGAATGCCGCGTCCCATTTCCCCCCTCTTTCCTTCCCCCCCCCCCCCCCCCCCCCCTCTCTCCCTCTCTCACCTCATGCTGGCCCCTTACTTGGCCTTCGGCGTGAAGGGACCGTGGTTGGAGGTCGACGTGCGCAGGGGCGTGGCCGGCTGCCCGGCGGCCTCCTTCTTGGTGAACTGGTCCAAGCTCCGCTGGAGGGCCTGGTTCTGCATCATGACATCCTCCAGGATGGCCTGCAGCCGGACATTCGCCTCGACGGCCAGCCGGTAGTCCTGCGGCGAGGCGCGAGTCTGCTGCTGCAGCTGGTTGGTGGTGCTGGTGCCCGGCTTCGGGGAAAGGTCCAGGGTCTCGGCGCCGGTGTACCGGCGAATGATGGCGGTCTTGGCGATGAGGGACTTCTCAGCCGTGGTGACCCGGTCACGCAGGAGCGACAGCTCGTCATCCGCACGCCACTGGGCCTCCTGGAGGTCGGCAATGCGGCCCAGCAGCAGCGCATTCTCCGTGGCAATCTGATGGATCTCCTCCGGCGAGAGAGCCGCATCGGCCGGCTCGGGCGACGGGGCCGCCGAGGCAGTGCGCGAGGAGGACCGCGACGACGACGACCCGCCCCCGGTCCCGGTGCCGAAGGGCGACTTGGAGGCCAGGTTCACGGCCAGGCTCCGCGTGTAGTCCGGCAAGTGGGTCGGCTGCCCGCGGCGGTTGTGCTCCTGCGCCAGCTGCTGCTGCAGATCGCGGATGAGCATCGTCCGCCGGCGCTCCTTGGCCCGGAACTCCGACTGGGTGGCCTCCAGCTGGGCAGTCATGGCCTGGAGGTCGTCCCGGAGCTGCGCCGTCCGGAGAACCTCCTCATCATGCTGCCGGCGCAGGGTCCGCAGCCCGTCATCCAGGGAGTCCCGCTCCTTGGTGAGCTTCTCGCACTCGGCGCTCAGGGCACGGCCGCCGGCCCGCGCGGCCTCGAGGTCGCTCTCGAGCTTGCGCGCGCGGCGGGTCCCGGCCTCCAGCTGCCCGGTCACCTCGGCCAGGCGGGCCTCCTGCTCGTCGGCAAGGGTGGCCGCCTCGGCCAGGCGCGCCTCGCGCTCGGTCAGCTGGGCCCCAAGCGCGGCCAAATCCGCCTCAAGGCCCGGCACCCGCGCGGCCACCGGGGCCAGGGCGTCCCGCTCGTCGGTCATGCTGCCCAAGTCCCGGGTCAGATCGGCCACACGAGTGGTCAGCGTGTCGCACTCGGCCACCAGCCCCGGGACACGCTGCGCCTCCGGGGCCAGCGATGACACCTGCTCCTCCAAGCCGGCGATCTCGGCCCGGGCGGTGGTCAGCTCCGCGCGGAGCTGCCCGCCCTGCTCCTCCAGGGCCTTGACCTGGGCGTTGAGCTTGGCGACCTCGGCCTCGTGAGCCTCGGCGCGGCGCTCGGCATCCGCCTCGGCCTCAGCCAGGCGACCCTCCAGCGTGGCCACCTGCTGGCGCAGCTCGTCGGCCTCGCCACTCAGGGTCTGCACCTGGCCATTGAAGGCCTCCAGCTCGGTGGACAGCGAGAGGATCTGCGCGCAAAGGCGCTCCTCCTTGGCTTGGAGATCGGCCACATGGCCGGCAGCCTCCTGGGTGGCCGCCTCGGCGGCGGCCAGCTTCTCGGCCAGGGTGTCCTTCTCCTGCTGGAGGCCGGCCCGGGCGGCGGTCAACTGGGCCACACTCTCATCCAGAGCGACCCGCTCGGCCTCGGCCGTTTCGAGGAGCTTTTCGCTGGTGGCCAGAGCTTCCTCGGCCTGGCGGCGAGCGGCCTCCTCGGCAGCCAGGCGCTCGGTCAGCTCGCCGGCCCGGGCCTCCAAAGTGCCGATCTCCTGGCGAAGGTCCGCGGCCTCGGCGGCGCCGGCATCCATGCGGCCCTGCAGCTGGGCCAGCTCGGCCTCGGCCTCGGCCAGCTCGGCGCGCAGGCGCTCCTGGCTCGAGGACCCGGTCTCGGCCTGCGACTCGAGATCGGCACGAGCACGCTCCAAATGCGCCAGCAGCTGGTCGCACTCGCGCGACTTGTCGGCCAGCTCGCCGGTCGCGGTGGCCAGCTCCTCGCGCGTGGACTCCAGCTGCTTGTTGACCGTGGCAAGGTCACTGGTCAGGGTGGTGTTCTGGCGCTCCAGCTGGCGCAGGTCGGCCTGCATGGTCTCGGAGCGACGCTCCAGCTCGCCCTTGGTCTGGGTGGCCTCCAATGTGGAGGAGGTCAGCTGGGCCTCGGCCGCGTCCAGGCGCGCCTCCAGGTCGTGGATCCGCTGGCGCTGGGTGGCCAGCTCATCCTCCAGCTGGTCGCGCTGAGCGCGAAGGGTGGCCAATTCCGAGGACACGAGGTCGCGCTCGTCGCGAGCCTGGTCGCAGGCGACGCGGGTCTCGGCCAGCTGCTTCTGCAGGGCGGCAAGTGCCTCGGCGGCGTCGGGGGCGGCATCGGAGCCGGTGGCGGCCACGGCCGCCGCGGCCGCCGCCGCCTGAGCCTCGCGCAGCTGCTCCCGCAGCGATGCAATGGTGGACTCCATGTGCGAGGTCTCGACGCGGGACTTGACCGAGGTGTCTGGATCCGGCAGAGGGGGAGAGCGCCGACGGGGCAGGTCAGCCACGGAGGCCGGGGCACCACATGGGGCGGGCGAAAGATGGATGGCACAGGGATGCATGCGTACCCTCCACACCGCGGAGCTGCCGGCGGAGCTGCTCCTCACGCTGCGAGAAGTCCCCCTGCAGCTGGGTCAGCCGGCCTTGGAGCTCGGCCTCGCGATGGGACAGCTTCCGGTGGCGCTCCTCGGCCGTGGCCAGGGCCGCCTCCAGGGTCTTGATGCGCTCGGCCGAGGCATTGAGCAGCTGCCCGGAGGAATCGAGCCGGGCATTCAGCCGGGCCAGCTCGGCCTGAGCCTGCTTCTTCTCATTGCCCAGCTGGGTGATGGTCTGCTCGAGCTGCGCCGTGCGCCGGCCGTGGTCGCGAATCTCCGTCTTGAGGATGGTGCTCTGCTCCTGCAGGAGCATCTGCGAATTTTCGAAATCATCCAGGCGCTCGCGAAGCTGGGCGTTCTCCACCTGGAGCTCGGCTGCCGACCGGCCGGCCGGCGGGGCAGGGGGCAGCTCGGCCACCGGGGCGGCCTTGCCACCGAGCTTGAAGAAGCTCTTGACAGCTACGTGGCAGGGGGGGGGGGGCAAAAGGGGAGTCAGGCACAGGCAGCGGAAGAGGCCGAGGGAGGGGGGGGGGGGAGAAAGAGAGGCCGAGGAGAGCGGGAATGCGCGAGGGGCAAGAGACACACCTTCACGTGTCGGGGAGTTGACGTTAGTCCGGGAGGGGGTCGCGGCGGTGGCCGCGGGGGTCGCGGCTCCGGGGGCCGGGGTGGACACCGGGAGCAGGGTGTCACTCTCCGGGCCGAAGACCTCCTTGGCCGGGGTGAGGGCCGAGGTGAGGGACATTCCGCGGCGCTGCTTGATGGGAGTGACCGGGGCTTCAGAGGCGGGTCCCGAATCGGCGGGCGGCATGTCTGCACAAATCAACGGGGTCAGCCGGTGCCGAGAGAGGCGAAGGCCCAAAGGCGGGGGGTGATGGGGAGGGGGGCGGAAAGAGGGGCAGAAAGAGGTGGCAGCTTGGTGACCATGTACCAGTCGACTGGGGAGGGGTCGGGCCACCGGGAGTTGGAGCGGCTATCGTGGCGGATGGGGAAGCCGGCGGCTGCGGCGACGGTGGCTGCGACGGCTGGTGCTGCTTCGTCGGGGGGTCTGCCGGGGGGGCCGTGGTCATGGTGGTGTGGAGGAGGGGGTGAGAGGGGGACAGGGGGAGGGAGGGAGATAGGGAGGAGGGGGGGGGGGGGGGGAGGGGGGATGATCAGGCTGAGGATGGGGCCGCCGGAAAGCATGGTGGGATTCATGTGTCGCCCCGCCGCTTGTGCGGCAGATCTGGCCGGAAGACCGCGGCATGCCCCAGCAGGGAGAGTACCGCAGGGGGGGGGGGGGGGGGGGGGGGGGGCCCCGGCCCCCTGCGTAGCACCCCCACTCGGGTACCCCGGCCCCGGCCGCCACACAACACACACACACACACACACACGCGACCGGAGGGAGCCAGGAAAAAAAACCAGTTGCATGAGGTGCTTCACAGGAGCGAGAGGGGGGGAGCCGGGATCGACCGCGCATCCAGCCAGGGCAGGTGCCGCTGAGAAGGGGCGGCGACTATTCGTCGGCAGGATCACGTGTGGTACCAAAAGCACTGACAGCAAATTCACCGACCCCGGCCCCGGCCCCCTCCAAGGCGTGCTTAAAATGTCTCGGAAAAAAAACAGCACGCAAGATCGGCCCCGGCGTGGGCCGCAAGCGAGCGGAAGGCCGACAAGTCGGACAAGAAGGGGAGGAGAGGAGGAGAGGAGGAGGGGAGGAGGGGAGAAACGCACAGAGAAGGACGAAAGTGGATTGGCGACCAGCTGCCGAGAGGGAAGTAGCAAACGGCAAGCGGCGAGCGGGCCGGAGAATCGAGGCAAGGCAGGAGGGGGGGAGGGCGAGAGAAAGTCAGCGGTCATAGGCAGCACACGCAAGGAAGTGCAGCAGAGCGCAGCGGAAAGGCGATGACGAGAGGGGGAAGGGAGGGGGAGCTTACCAAAAGGGTGCTTGCTCGCGTGCGTAGGATGGGATGCTGAAGGGGGAGCGGGGGCAGGCGACAAAGAGGCGGGAGGCGAGGAGAGAGAGAGAGAGAGAGAGAGAGAGAGAGTGGAAGGGGGGCAGGGCAGCCCAGGCACCGCGACGGCACCGTGCCGGGTTTTAAGTTCATGCTCTCTCTTTCTCCCCCGCCCCCCCCCCCCCCCCCCTCCCCCCCCCCCCCCGGCGGCTTGGCCTCCAGGGGGGGGGGGGGAATGGATCGAGCCAACTGCCTCGGGCAGGGCGAGGGCGTCCGACGGGTACACGGCCAAGGAAGCAGGAGAGGGCCGGCGCGGCATCGGGCCGGCACGGCCGGCCGGTCGCGATGTCGCGCACGCACACTTGCATGTGCCCGGAGCGCAAAGGGTCTCGGACCGGGGCACCCACAGCCCGGGTCGGCGGCGGTCGGAACAAAAAGACCGCCGAAAGCGGGATTTAATTAGGCCCATTGGGCGGAAAAAAAAAATCCTGCGCGATCGTGCACATGCGCGGGGCCCACTCGCGGCGGGCCCCGGCAAACGGGCACACGCGCGCTCCTCGGCCCCCCCATCCCCGGGCCAAGGCAGGAATTCCCCCGCACCACCGCGGCAGAGGCGGTCGGTCGGCCGGCCGGCCGGCCGACCGGCGAACGGCCGCATCCGGCACTATCGCCTCCTCGCCGGTCGGCCGCCGGCCGGCATGCCGGTTGCAGATGGCAGCCCGCCGGTTGGCGCGTGGGGAGCGCGCCGCTCGCAAATGCTTCCGCCTGGGCACCGGACCGCCAGAGAGCTCCCCTCCCGGCCGCGCGACATGCTCCGCTGCGGCGGTGGATCCCAATCCAGAGGGAGATGCTCCCCGCTGGCCCCCGGGGCGGCGAAGCTCGACCACCGTGGGCTTGCTCGCGACGCCCCCCTCACCACGGCTCCCCCCCCCCCCCCCCCCGGCCCGGCCCTCAGGGAGGGGCAGCGATCTCGGCCCGGTGCTCGGAATAGGGGCCGGACCTACGCACGAAGCCAGCGGCGAGGCGCGCGGGGCCAGGCGGCCGTGCCGCCTCCCCTCTCCAGAGGGAGCCATGGCCTCCGGCACATCCGCCGGCATCCGGCCAACAGCGTTTCACATACCAACCTGCGGCGGCGTGTGAAAGGGCAACCGGCATGCGTGGGGAGCCCGGCCATGTCATGTGCCCCAGCCATGTGAGCAGGCCGCGTGATGGGGCGTTTGGTTCTATTCGGGTTTCACAAGAAGCCGCGGACCTTGCTGGCGTGCGCGCGCAGTCGGCTACCGGCCCCCCCCCCCTCCCTCCCCCCCCGCTCCACAGTCTCGACGAGAGGGGAGAGCAGGCCGGGGAGTGGGAGGAGGGAAAGGCCGCGAACGGAGGCAAAGTGGCGGAAAAATAAGAGACAAAGTGGGAGGGGGAGAACGCGCAGGAGAGAGGAGCGCGAAGGGTGGACCATATGCACCGTGGTCCTTTTCTTCTTCTTTTTTTTTCTCGCATGTTTTTTCTTTCCCTTTTTGCCCTCTCACCAGCTCTCTCGCCCTCCCGTCCGATCGGTCAAGAGGCAGGGGAACACATGGATGGGCGGGGAGAAGAGCCGGGCGCCTCACTCTACTTGTGCTTGGCGCGCTTGGTCGGCTGAGGAGGGGCCTCATCCTCCTCCTCCTCCTCCTCATCATCATCATCATCATCATCCTCGTCGGCGGTGCCGGCGGCCTCCTCCTCGGCGTCGGAGTCGTCCTCCGAGACCTCCTCATCGTCGGAGTTGTTGACATACCCCCGGATGGTGGCATCGTCGTCGGCCTCGTCATCCGAGTCAAAGTCATCATCATCATCGTCGTCGTCGTCATCATCATCGAAGTCCCCGTCGGCCTCACTGTCGGAGGCACCGGCGCCGGAGACAAACTTCGGGCGCTGGGCGTGGCCGCCCTCGGAATCGGAGTCGCTGCTGTCGTCCTCCACATCGGCATCCTCCTCTTGGGCCGCCTTGCGCAGGGCACCATACTTGGCCTCGTGAATCTCCCGCTGGCGGGCACGCAGCTCCTCCATCTTCTGCTGCTTCTTCTGGACGTTCTGCTCCTGCTCGAGACGACGCTGGGCCTTGAGGCTGGCACGGCGCTCGCGCTCCAGCTTCTTGGCGGCAATTTCCTCGGCAGTGCGCTTGACTGTGGGAGATCGCAGGAGGGGATAGGGCGATCGGGTCCGGCAAAGGGGGGTCAGCTTTTGAAAGGGACATTGGAGGGGGAGAGGAGGAAAGAAGGGAGGGAGGGAGGGGGAAGACGGGCAAACGCACTGTAGCTGTGGTAAAGGACCTCGCCGTCGCAGAAGCCCTGCTGGATCTTGAGGAGCTGCAGCTCCAGCCGCGGGCCGACCTCGGCCAGACGGATGGACCGGCGCGAGTTCTCGGTGTGGTTGCTGCGTGCATCCACATACGGGGGGTGGGGAGAGAGAGAGAGAGAGAGGGAGGGAGGGAGATAGGTCAGAGGGTGGAAGTGAGCGGGGGAGGCAGGTCGAGATCCTCTGTACACACCGGCCGATGTAGTTCTGCGAGAGGGTGACATGATTGTCGGTGTTGAGGGTATCCTCGAACTCACTGTCCGAGGTCATGCCGCCATCACTGTGGGCCGTGCGAAGTGGGAAAGGGGGAGACGGGGGTCAGTAGGGCGCCGGGCCACATCGTCAGCTGCCGCGGGGGGGGGGGGGGAGGAACAGAAGCGGCAAGGGAAGGGCGGGCAAAGGTCAACACACCGGAGGATATGCTCACTGATGTCCTCGAGCTTGCTGAGATCCGGGATGCGAGTCTGCACCAGGCGACGAATGCTGCGGCAAAAGGAGGTCAGTCGAGGGGGCCCCAGCAACGCCCCGCCCGAGGCAGGGAACCAGGGGAGAGGAGACAAAAGAGCCAGAGGGGCGCGCACTTCTTCGACAGGCCAACGTAGCCCATGGTGATGAGGTACTGGCGCATGTCGATGGTATCGGTGTCATCATTGTAGTTGAAGAGAACCACACGGCGGGCATCCGTCAGGCGGATCTGCGTGGGATGGGGAAAGGCGAGGGCAAAGCCGGGCCAGCCCGGAGGTAAAGTTAGCCGGGGCACCAATGTGCATGGGAGGAGAGCAGCGAGAGGGGGGGAGGGGGGGGGGGGCCAAGGCACAGGGCCGGGGAAAGGCAGCATGTCGCACCGTCTCCACGTCCACGGCGGGGAACATGTTGCGCAGCATGAGGGCCGTCATCTTGTCCTTCTCCGAGGCGTTGGGCGAGTCATCGGCGTTCATGTTGTTCAGGATGACCAGGGGCGCGGTCTTCAGCTCGGTAACCATGGACCGGGGCTTGGCCTGCGAGCGGGTGATGTCGCCGAGGGTGGCGTAGCGCAGCACACGGAAGTGCAGGGTCGGCCCGCGCGGCATGCGGCCAATCCGCATGTTCACACCGACGTTGGTCTGCGTGAAAACCACCGTGTGCGAGACACCCATCGGACCGGCGACATTGGCAAAGTCCTTGAGAGTATTGCGCCGGAGCTCGCGCAGCCGGGCGGCCGTGTTCGGCTCCATGACACTCCGGAAGTCGGCGATCAGCTCCCGCACGGTGGAGGTCACCTTGCCCATGGAGATGACGAAGGACCGGGGGACCGACGTGTCGACCGCGTTGCCGGACCCATCGTCGATGATCTTGTTGGGGTTGACGCGCTTCTTCTTGGCGGTTTTGTTGCCGCCCTTCTTCTGGGGGCGACCGCGCTGG